AAACATAATTCGGACGAAATGATTTTCTTTACATAAAGAATTTCTTCTCAAGTTGCTCGGTTTCCAGTTTCATCAAATTACGCTCTTTGGTGGGTTTGCAGTGAACTTAATAAGATGGCTTGACTTACAGCCGAAAGAGGCGGTGCATAATTTTATGGTTTAAACATTTGTACAAAGGGGGAATCATATAGTGGATGTGATTAGGACTTACTAGCGGAGTCGTCAATAAAACATTAGTGTTGTGTTTTATTTTTATTTCATTTTTAAAGGGCGCCATTATTATTAAATTTGTGGATCGTTAACGTTTTATAGCTACGTACGAAAAAATAAACACTCATTTTATTTGCTACAGTTTATAAAATATGTGTTCCGTTTTACTTTCCGAGCATAGGCCCATACATGACCTCTAGAATACGAAGAAATAGGTCTCTCCTTTCAAAAATTGACTAATCATCCCCCTCAACAATTTGATGAAATTTTGGGAATTTTGTAATGTAAAAACTCACATACATATTTTTATTTTAACTTATAAGAATGATCATAAAAAATAAAATTTACAAAATTAAATCTTATATTTTTAGAAAAATCTGGATTTATTTACCTTGAACTAATTTTTTGATGTCACAATCGTCTTTTATTCTCTTTATTTTTTCAATTTTCCATTTTTCAGTGTTTTAGGGTCATCATTTTTCATTTTTTCAACTTTAATTTTTTCAGTTTTTCAATTTCTCAACTTTTTGTTTCTTCAATTTTTCGATGTGTAATTTTTCAATTTTGCAATTTGTCGATATTACAATTTTTTATTTTTCGATTTTTCAGTTTGTTTCTTTCGATTTTATAATTTTTGATTTTTCAAATTTTCAATCTTTGATTTTTGAATTCCTCGGTTTTCCAATTATAATATTTCAATTTCACGGTTTCTGGGTTTTGCAATTATCCAATTTTCCGATTTCTTTAATTCTCAATATTCAGATTTTACAATGTTTCGTTTTTTCTGTTTTGCAGTTTTTCGATTTTTCAAAGTTTTCATTTTATACTTTTTCGTTTCCTCATTTTTGATTAATTTTCAGTTTTACAATTTTGCAATTTTTACATTTTTTTTGATTCGAAAAGTTGAAAAATCGAGAAATTGGAAAAAAAAACAAATCGAATCGAAAAATTGGAAAACCTAAAAACTGTAAAGTCAAAAACTCGAAAAACTGTAATATTGAAAGACCGAAATTTTGAAAAATTGAATATCGAGAAATGCAAAAATTAAAAATTGAAGAATTAAATAGGTATTAGAAAAAATTTTATAATTCAATGATTGAAAAGTGGAAAAATTTGAATTTATTAACCTTGCACCAATTTTTTGTTTTTTCCTTTTTCTTTGCTTTTACAATTTTTTGATACTACAATTTTTCATTCCATTTTCTATAATTTTTCAATTTTTCCATTTTCCAAAATTACGGATTCTTAATTTTTTGTTTTTTCAACTTTAATTTTTTCAATTTTGCAATTTCTCGACTTCCAAATGCTTCAATTTTTCATTTCTTCATTTTTTCGATTTGCGGTTTTTCAATTTTGCAATTTTTGATAAGACAACTTGTCTTTCTTTTCTCGATTTTTCATTTCTTTTATTTTTTTAACGTTTTTTTCGATTTTATAATTTTTCCTTTATTCAATTCTTCATAATTTTATTAATTAATTTTTCAATTACTCGATTTTGCAATTGTTAAATTTTTCAATTTTGTAGTTTTTGGAGATCTCAGTTATCCGATTTTTCGATTTCTTTGATTTTCAATATTTCGATTTTACAATGTTTCGTTTTTTCGATTTTGCACTATTTCGGTTTTTAAGATTCCCATTTTTGAAACTTTCGATTTTTTAATTCAATTACTACTTTAATTTTTCAAGTTCTTGTTTTCCAATTTTTTTTCAATGTTTTCATTGTATTTTTTTTTAATTTTTCAATTTTACAATTTTGAAATTTTGGAATTTTTTTTATTCGAAAAGTTGAAAATAGCAAAATCGAAAAATTGCAAATCGAAGTACCCAAGAAACAAAAAATCGAAACATTGAAAATCTAAAAATTGAGAAACTTAAAATTCGAAATAAGTAATGAATCGAAAGACTGTATCTTTGGAAGATCGAAAAATGGAAAAATTGATTATCGAGAAAAATTCAAAATTGAAAAATTGAAAAATGAAATATATGGAAAGAAAAAAGTTTTAAAATCATATAATTGATACATATAAAAATTCTAACACTGTAAAATTCAAAAAGTGAAATGAAAACTGGAAAAATTGTAAATAAAAAATTGAAGAAATGGAAAATTGAAAAATCGGGGAACTGAAAAATCTAAAACTGAAAGAGCGAAAAATTAAAAATCCAAATTTAAAAAATTTCAAATTGAAAGAATATATTATATAAAATCAGAACATTGAAAAACTGAAAAATTGAAAAAAGAAAGAATATAAAAAACAAAACGAAAAATTGCAAATCGAAAAACTGAAGAAACAAGAAAAATGAAGAAACGAAAAATTGAAAAAGTTCGAATTGAAAAAACAAAAAGTTATAAAATCGGAGCATTGAAAAATCTGAAAACCGTAGCATTGAAAAATCTGAAAATCGTAAAAATAAAGAGAATAAAAACCGAAATGAGAAAGTCAAATTGAAAATTCGAAAAATGGAAGATTAAAAAATCGAAAAATTGAAAAGTTAAACATTTTAAAACCGAGAAACTTTAAATCGAAAAATTGCAAATCGAAGAACTGAAGAAACGAAAATTCAAAACATTGAAAAACTAAAAATCGAGAAACTTAAAATTCGAAATAATTAATGAATCGAAAAATTTGAAAGAAGAAAAAACGAATCTAACAGCCAAAAATCGTAAAATCGAAAAACTATAGAATCGTTGAAACACTGTAACATTATAAGAACGAAAAATGGAAAAATTGATTATCGAGAAATTGAAAAATCGAATAAATGGAAGGAAAAAGTTTTAAAATCCAATAATTGAAAAAGTGAAACATTTTAAAAATATAATTATTTTTATATATTTAAAATGAAAACTGTAAAAATTGCAAATCACAAATTTAAGAAATGGAAAAATGAAAAATCGGGAAACTGAAAAATCTAAAACTGAGAAAACGAAAAATTAAAGATCCAAGATTGAAAATTTTGTCATAAAAAAAAAATTATAAAATCAGAACATTGAAAAACCGAAAAATTTAATAAAAAAAGAAAATAAAAACCAAAATGAAAAATTATAAATCGAAAAACTGAAAAGTCGTGAAATTGCCAATCGAAAAATTACATATGGTAAAAGTGAAGAAACAAAAAAAATGAAAAACTGAAGAAACAAAAACTGGAAAATTTGGAATTGGAAAAACAAAAAAAAATAATAAAATCGGAACATTGAAAAAGCAAAAATCGTAAAAATAAAGAGAATAAGAACCGAAATCTAAATTTCGAAAATTTGAAAATATAGAAAATTAAAGTATCAAAAAATTGAAAAGTTAAAAATGTTAAACTCGAGAAATTCTAAATCGAAAAATTGCAAATCGAAGAACTGAAGAAACGAAAATTCTAAATATTGAAAAACTAAAAATCAAGAATCTTAAACTTCGAAATAATAAATGAATCGAATAATAATCTGAAAGAATAAAAAACGAATCGAATAGAAAAATTGGAGAACTCAAAAATTGTAAAATCGAGAAACTGTAGAATCGTCAAAATTGCACTTTAACATCCTAAAATCGAAAAATGAAAAATAATTAATTATCGGGAAATTAAAAAATAAAAATTGAAAAATCGGATAAATATGGAAAGGTAAAAGTTTAAAAATCCAATAATTGAAATAATAAAACATTTTAAAAATTATAATTATTATTATTCGATACATATTTAAAATGAAAACTGGAAAAAATACAAATCAAAAATTGAAGAAATGAAAAGTTGAAAAATCGGAAAACTGAAAAATCTAGAACTGAAAAATGTAAAACTGAAAAAACGAAGAATTAAAAATGTAAAATTGAAAAATTTCACATTGAAAAAAAATTATAAAATCAGAACATTGAAAAACCGAAAAATTGAAAAAAAGGAAGAAAATAAAAACCAAAACGAAAAATTGCAAATTCAAAAATTGAAAAGTCGTGAAATTGCATATCGCAAGAGTGAAGAAACAAAAAAAATTAAAATTGAAAAAACGCAAAATTGAAAAAGTTGGAATTGAAAAAACAAAGGATTATAAAATCTGAACATTGAAAATCGAAAAATCGTAAAAATAAAAGAAAAAAAAACGAAACCAAAAGTGCAAGTCGAAATATGAAAAAATGGAAAATTAAAAATCGAAACGAAAAATTGCAAACCAAAAATTGGAATATTAAAAACTGAAAACTCGGGAAACTCAAATCGAAAAAGTGCAGAATCTGAAAATTGAAAGATTCAAATTCAAAAGTAGGAAAATTGAAAAACTAAAAAATTTAAACTTAAATACTCTGGAAATTGCAAATCGAAAAACTAAAGAAACAAAAAAGAACATTTTTTTTTATAAAGATTATTAGAAAACAAAAATCGCAAAAAATTTTTATAATTTTTCGAAGAAGCGAAATTTATTCAGGGCAAAGGATGTTCTTCGAGCAATTTTTTATGTCATTTTTGTTGCTCCTACGCTACAGTTTTAAAAATTAAAGTCTGAAATAAGCTTAATATACTTAATACATAGTGATCAAAAAGATTGTACATCCATATCTTTCGTGAGTTTTGCCGCTCAGTTTGTGATGTTTAACGCCTGTCACAAACTCCAATTATAACTTAGCTTTCTTGTAATTCTACTTAGACGATAAATTTTCAACACGTATCTCAAAGAAGCGGCAAACTCTTATTAAAAACACAGTGACACATTTTCGAAAACCAACTTACACACGATCTTTCATAACCACCTTGTACAACAATTTTAATTTCTTGTGCGATGTTCACTCCAAGTAAACTAATCTTAACTCAATCACGTCTTTCAGAGCGTAAGTCGTGCCAGTTCTGGCCGTTACTGCTGCGAGGCAACGAACAAAGAGGGCACATCCACCAGCCCGGCTTTTCACTTGCGAGTCAAATTTCCACCGGTGTGCGGCGAGAGGGGCGGCCGAAAAGTGTTGGGGGCGGCCAAGGACGAACCTCTTAAAGTGGAATGCAAGGTAAGAGAGAACAGAACTCTGTTGTTATATTTAATTAACATCAACGCAACCTTCTTCCGCGGCGTTCCACATAATTAGCTCAAACTCAACATAACAAAATCTCCGCCATATACAGTTGTCCCCTAGTTAAGCAAGGAAGTTTCGTCAACTTTTCGAACTAAAAGTAACCAAAAATAGCACTAATTTAAAATAACTTATTATACTACTCGCCGAAAAAATCGCAACACCAAGAAGTAGTGTTTTTATTTTAACTAAAGTTTGTGGGTGTCATTGTCTTAACAAAAGAAGTGCACCATAACATTTGCAGTTTAAAATTCGACGAACAACAACTGTAAAAAATTAATAATGTGTCGGTCCACCCCTTGCATTTACACATTCTGCAACTCGCCGTGGCATACTTCTAAGTAAATTATTGATATCCTCCTGAGGCAGGGATTCCCAGGCAACCTGGACTTCATGTCTAAGTTGAGCTAGAGTCTGTGGATACTGTGGTAATTCACCTAGCCTTCTGCCGATCATGTCCCACACATGTTCAATAGGTGATAGGTCCGGCGAACGAGGAGGCCAAGGAAGAATTTGCACTTGGGCATCTTCTAAGCACCTCAAAGAGACCCGTGCAATATGCGGCCGGGCATTGTCCTGCTGAAATAGGGCATCTTCGATGGTTTGAACAAACGGTATAACAACCGGTTCCAGGATTTCATCAACATATCGTTGAGCTGTCATAGAGCCTTGAATCATGACTAAAGGTGACCTGCTGCCATATGCAATAGCTCCCCATATCATTATGCCCAAAGTTCGAGCCACATGCCGTTCCACAGAAAAAGCAATATTCCTTCGTTCTCCACGAAATCTTCTAACCCTTTGCCGACCGTCGTGCATGCCTAAACAAAAGTGGGATTCATCTGAAAAGACTACTGAATTCCACTCAAGATCCCAGCCTAAACGTTCGCGGCACCATTCCAAGCGTTCACGGCGATGTTCTGGAGTTAGCGGTAGTACCAAATGGGGACGATAGGAACTTAGTCCAAAAGACTGAATGCGGGTGTAAATTGTTCTCATCGCAATCGGCCGACCAACCGCCGCATACCAGTCATCTGCTATCCTGCGTGTAGACACATGTCGGTTTCTTACTGCCAATGTTTGTAGGTACCGATCTTCACGTGGATTCGTGCTACTCCTGCGCCCAGAACCTCTAGCTCGGTGACCTCTACCTTCCTCGTGCCATGCTCGCCAGCATCGCAATACAGTTAAAACATTTCGATCCACGCGAGCAGCGATTTCCCGAAATGACAACCCTGCTTCGCGAAGTCCCAAAATGCGACCTCGCTCTAACAGACTTAGTTGTTGAAAATTTCGACGTCTACGCACACAAGACATTGTGACAGTACTAATATTGTCAGATAGCACAATAAAACACAAATTCCCATGGTGAACAGTAATGCAAAGAAATTATTAGTGGCGGAGAACAATAAGAAAGAAAAAAATTTATAAGCTTCCGTTTTCGGTAAAATCTGTTGTAACTTTTATCAGTACATTATCAAACATAGATACATATTTCCACAAAGTTTCATCAATAAAAAACCGCCACTTCTTGGTGTTGCGATTTTTTCGGCGAGTAGTATATATAGGAGTACTTAAGTATTTTTTTTTTAAATTATATGGTAAATGTGGCTCTTAAACGAAGAGATTTAGAGACGATTTCTGCACAGTAATCAAACGTCCGTGCCCGTTAAAATATGTGACGTGTTTTTAATCCACAATTTGTGGATGCTTCTTTCTGGCCATCCTGTATTAAGGAGAGCGGCGTTAATGAGGCTCCAAATTTGGGGATACGTCAATTTGCGCTACGCTCGTCTCTTTCTCTCCCGTGTTTGGCTATATTTTCCAAAAATTATAGCAGTGTAATAGCGGCTGCGGGCCCGTAAGTCAATTAACCCCTTCTGAATGATATATTAAGCTCATCGCCCAAACATGTTGCGAAACGAAACCGCAGACCGAAACGTTACCTATCAGTACTAAACTAATGCAATAGCGCCACATGAAATTGGCATTGTTCGAACCTTAATCAAAATTAATGGTTAATGGGGGATGAAGGCGGCCTGGATTAGCCAAAAATGTTCGACGTTCGTCGTTTTTGCCAATTAAAGGAGATTCCGGGGCGACCTACACCGGCTAAAAACGTTCTCCTTTCGACGTTCTCCATTGTAAGGTCCACAGGCGAGGCAATTTTAATAAAAGTGTCAAGAAATGGTTGCTTCGAATGGCAATTGATTCCTTCCATTGTTCGTTATTTAAGTCAAGGGTTAGTTTGTATTTTTGATGGGTTGCTGAAGCGGAATCTGAAATCGATAATAATTTTGATACTATGAACATGTAGAAGTAGAAAAAACGGATTATGTGTTCTACACTGCGTACTATTCAATAATTAGTAAACAAAAGAATTCAGAAAGTTTTCTCTGTTTGAGGAGTTTGAAGAGGAGGTTCAAAAATGCAACTATTATAATAATAATAATAATATTGATTGATTCAACGAGAAGAAATCCCACTTACAAAAACCACATAAACTAAAAATAAACTCCTACAAAAAGTAACTACAAAATTGACAAAAAAATTCAGTAACCTTAAACATAATACGAGTATATCTTAAACATATAATATTATTCTACAACGTTTAGCAAGTTAGCAGAGATCAAAATTAATGAATCATCATGAATATTACAGTTATTAGAAATACAATTAAAAACACTGCACATTAAATTAATTGGAGATCTATCTAAAGCATTAGTTCTAGCAAAGTTAATATAAAAAGAAATATGTTGGCGAGTATTTAGTCGTGGTACAAAAAAAAATATTTTATCCAAGAGCACAGAACAGTCAGTTCTATTATAAAGAAAATTATCTTAGTGTTGGGGACAGATACTTTTAAAAGTATCCAGATACAGATATAGATATATGGAAGATAAAAGTATCTACATACAGATTGTTTTCGATTTTTTCGAAATGTATCTAGATACAGATACAAGAAAACAGATACTTTTTGAAGGTTTAGCGAATAAAATAACTGAAAACATGTTTATGTATTTTTTTATGTATTGTTTAATGAACTTTTTAAAATTAACAACATTTCGAACGTATTGTCACCTAAATTATTTCTTCTTGGTATCAGAATTTGGTTTCCGTTAATAAACACCCGTTCCACAGGTGCAGAAGAAGGGATTGTGGTATTAAGTTTAAAAAATAAACATTTTACTGTAGCATAGTTATTCAAGACTGAAAAATCTTTTCTTTTTTCCTGCAAATAGACCATCGCTTCGCTGTTTGATATGTCGCAAATTGTGCAATTGTTTGTTACGTACGCTTAAAAAGAATATTTTTTTGTTTTTATTCTCATACTACAGTGTCCAAATTGTGTTTTAGTATATCTAATAATTATCTCCAGCATTAAAATTAATATTTCAAAAGAATACGGGAAATGATTATTCTGTGCTGAAGGTCTGTTGTCGGCAACCTGTCATAAATTATTATTCTTCAATATCGGCTTACGATGTTTTTATAACCATGCCCGGTATTCGTCTATCCCGGTGCGGCAGGTATATACATTTTAGGAAGAATTGCTGGTTCCGTTTAAGGCAAAATAAGTACAATTTCTTAGAAAGGTATTTAAACCCCTTATAGGATCAAAGGCTGCCTGGCAGGTCGGAATCACCAGAGTGCAACTTTAAATTTTCAGATTTTTGTTGAAACTCATTTTATTTTAATCGCGTTTCACGATTTCTGAGAATATATCACAATAAATTATTCTACCGAGGGTTGTAAAAATATTAATTTTATTGCCCAAGATTTACACTTAAACATAATCGGCACATTCTAGGGCAAAACGGACCTGCCAAGCCCGCCTCACGTTAGGTCCAACAATGAAAAAGTGAACAAATGACATATGTGGCAACAGGAAAAGATGCTACATTTGTCTGAAAAATAAAGGTATAAAACAGTAACAAATATGCGATTTATACGAGAGAAATGTATGTATTGAACATTCGATTAGTCGATTCCAGAACTAATTTGTGCTAATTGAAAAAATTAATCATTATGTAACACGCAATTATTATTTTCTAAAAATAATAACAAACCCTTAAACAAATATTTTTACTATTAAAATTACTCTTATTTAATAACACAAATACAACCAGCGGGCCTACCGGACCCGGGTTGCTCAGGTACACAGATAAAATGCATTGCCCCGATAAGGGTAAAACGCAATGAATAGTGAATTGTGGTTTATGGTTTTTAAAATACCATCTTACCATGGCTTAGATTTATTACCCCTGAGGATTATATTTAAAGATGTAAAGTACTGAAGGCTACAATGTAGGAAATTATGGTATTTAAAATATGAAAATTTCCGTGACAGAACACTGTTAGTGGACCTCTTACCTCTATTTTTGTTTATGTGACCAAAATCACCAACATGAAGTATCAAAAATTACTACTAGTATAACTCAACTAATAACTACTGAAAAAAAATGAAATAAAAAATGTATCTGTATCTGCGCCGTTAATTTTGTATCTACTATCTAGATACAGATATTTTGTGCTTAAATTCGATTTTATCTAGATACAGATACTAGATACCCAAAAATATATCTAGATACTTTATTTAGATACAAGTATATCTAGATACTGCCCAACACTGATAAGAAGCGAATTAAAAGTGTTGTAAAATTAAATCAAAAGATCTCTCTGTCTTGTAAGAAAGCTAAGAATTAAAAAAAATTTATTTGTACAGCTTCAATTTCCTTGCGATGGATTGCGTAGATGGGGTACCAAATAACTGCTCCGTACTTCAGTCTTGATCTCACCAAAGAAAAAAATAATATGATAAGAGTTCGCTGATTCACAAATTGTCTACAATTGGGATAAATAAAACCATATATCTTGTAAACTTTAGCAATAATTTCTTTACAAGGATTTGTGAAATAAAATTTGCTATCGAAACT